AGTAAAAGCAAAGTTAAAGGTGAATATTGTAGTAAACATACCGTGCTTGCCTGTCTGTGACCAACATTAAATTTAGTAGAAACAATCTGTAGGGACAAGGCTTTTTGAATCTCATTTTAATATCATAATACATCAATAACATGATATTAAAAAAACTTTAAAATGTCGATGCATATCCCGCCATATTGCCTTTGCGGAATCGAATGATTCTGACTTATAGACTGCGTAGACCTTCCCCCGACCACAGAGGAATTACCGCGATGATGGGAAGGAAAATTCCGTTTACCAGGGGGGCGCGATGCTGTCTGGGAACAGATATTGAAAATATTGCTCCCTTCAGCGGAAAAATTACAATCTGCTTGCAATACTTAGTGTTAGTGTTAATGAGAGGCAGTGAATTCTGAATATAAAAGCTTGATAGGAAATAGGAATATATATTATTAAACAATAATACAGTTTTATACAGAGGAATCATTGTCATTTACATTCATTTACGTTTCCAAAGCAAGTAAGTTGGGCATTAATTTTAGTATTATGACCGTTGGTTATCATTTAATATATCATTGTGGTTCGAAATTTCGTTAATTAAAATAGTTATTAAAGTGCTAAATTTAATAGTAAATAATCTATAATTTCCTAGCAAGCTTTTTAGTTTCTCTTTGTTTCATATCAATGTTTATATTAAATTAAATTAAAAATTGAATACAAGGACTGCTGCTTGCAAACAAATTCGAACCTAATTGATAATGTCATGATTCATGAAAACAGCTAAAAATTACAAAATATGTGGTGAAGCTAGTCATAGCAAGTTAGTAACTGATACTGTGAAGATTTAGGAAACAATGCAGTTCTATACACACTATGCATAATGCCTCAAATTATACAATTTGGCATCTGGCTACCAGCCTCATTTTGATGCAACTTGTTTCCAGGTCCCGAGTTATTGTGCATATCATGTATGTATTGTAGAATATAGAATAAAACACTTTCTAGGCCTGCTACTTCAAGTACTGCATACTTGCTTTGCATAATGCACAAACAAAGCAAAATACATAGTGTGTATACAATATCCAGATTTTTCCTTAACTCGCCTTATCTCGCCTTAACTCGCAAGGGTCAGTAGCCAGATTTTTCCTTAACTCGCCCTATCTCGCCTTAACTCGCATAGGCTCGCCTTATCTCGCGGCGAGTTAAGGTCCCAGAGCAGGCCTTCTCTGTTTACATGGGATTATATCCTGTGCCCAGACCTTCATTTTTCTCACAGCTGGCGGGCAAAGAAAAATGAAGACCTGATACACATGTTATTAAATGTTTGTGTCCTACAACTGCCTTTATTGTTGTAACTCCGATTGGCTATTTCTAGCATGAGTATTCATGCCATATTTAATGTATTGTTTTGATAATTGGTTAATGCTATAATTAAATAATGATATATTTAGTGATTGTAACTATATTTAGCTTGTTGTTATTATGTGAAATTGACATTTCTTCTGGCACATTTTGATTGGATACCAAAAATAAAACTGTAGTGTGGGTGGAAAGTAACTCTGAATGGATCAAGACTTGCATCAGTCTCTGTATGTAATTACAGAGCATAATTGCAGGTTAATGAGATTTCTAATAGTAATGCAACATTGGTTAGAAGACTAAGGGGGAGTTTACATGAAAGGTAATTGTTTCAAGTTGCAACTTCCAGTGGTATCTCCTATTTCATTTCATTTTCATTTTATATGGAAATGAGCTGGCATGCCTTGTGACAGGGTCTTTCTTTGCATTGCCTGAGTTATTGGGCAATTACTGTACACTAGCTGGATATTTTTCAAACAAAGATGATTACCTGGGTTTGCTCGCCTACCATAGTTGAGTATTTATATGCTTTGTCTGTGCAAATATAATTTGATATAAGCTGTATATATCATATGACATTCTCCTGACAGATTTAATCTTAGAATCAATGATAAAATGATGGACGGTATAAATACTGTATATACTGTAACTGGTGTATACAGGTTATAATTATGAAATTTGCTCACAAAAGTGGAATAGTTTGGAAAATATATTTAATTAAATTATATATTTGTAATGCTAATTATCCCAGTGTTATGTTTTGGATAGCTAGCATGCCACCCTGAGGATTACGATTACCATTGATAAGTGTATGGATATATTTGACAAGATGTGCATTTATATAATAACATAGGGAAAATTAAATATTCATCAATACTACTGTGCAGCCTTTCTTAAAGGAGTACTGTATTAATATTAGTTGAAAGGCAGGCAAAAGGGGACAGATAGAAGACATATGATTAAATTATGTCATGTTTATCATTGTACAGTTTGGTATTGGTTTATTTAACAAACAATTTCCAATTAAGATAGCTTCATTAAATTAATTTACACACAGTCTCTATTGATTTAAAACGTGTGATTTAGATGTGTGATCTAGTTATATATTTATATTAATTTTAAACCCAGTGTTTGTTGTGTGTTAGTTTACTGGTTTCCTCGCCACAAGGCAATATTGGCTCTGTATTCAGAGTGTGGGCTATTCACCATGCAGTTCATCTCAAAGGCAGCTAGCCTAGGGGCAAATGAAATTGACCAGCTGATGCCAACCACACTGTCCATGCAGAGAAGATTAGCAGCATAAGACAGAGTTGCATATATTTACCCAGTAAAGCACAAAATACCTTTAATCTTTATGCACCATATTTTATTTTACTTTAAATTTTAATTCTAGAAGATTTTACTCATGGAACATTGGAAATTAATAGGGGAAGGTGGTTCATAAACAAGATAATAACACTGTCTTCTGAGTCCAGCAATGCAACTAGTGGAGCACACTGTATACACTAGCTTTGTTACACAGTATGTGTGTATTTGCGTTGTCGTGATTTTCTGCCGAAATGTTTTTCAATAGAAAAGTTAAGGCTACAAGAAGCACTGTACTGACTATTTTTTAATAGAGACTTATTGCCACTGCTGCTATTACACTTGTACAAGCAAATTTTTTTTCTAATGTGGAGAAATTATGTTTTTGCGATATACGTTCAAGTTTTTTACGTGTTTTTCCAAAAATGGAGCAAAATTTTTGTGACTCTGATATAGGAATTGCAACAAAAGAGTTCGCTCAGAACGCAGGAAATCGCATTTCCGAGGTCCTAGATTTCAAAATTTCCCGGGGGAGGATACCCCCGGACCCCCCTAGAAATGCTAGGTCTTATGTATGCATCAGTCAGCTCAGGAGCTGTATCCGCCCCTGAAAAGTACTGTTCAAATGCCCCACATATAACAGAAAATTATGGTCAAATGCCCCAACCCCCAGATAATTCTGACTGTAAATTCTATCAGTTCAAGTTTGGAATTGTGTGAAAACATACACCGAATTCTGAAGGTATTACTTCAACATTTTATTATAAATGAGACACTGTATTTAAAAACTTACACCTCACGCTTTATACCCTGCGAGCAAAGTCCTCTCGTATTTCTTCTCGGCACGGCACGGAGAAGCGAGAGTGAGAGAGAGTGAGAGAGAGACTCTGCAGTCTGCAGAACTTGTGCAGACTAGTGTATAAATTCATTTGAGCATGCGCGAAGGTTGCTAAGCAACTGCTTATTTCCCAGAAGAAGATTTAATAAGTAGTTTCCGGTTCAGATCAAAACCGGTTATAAAACCAAAATTACGCATAATTATGAATTATCCAAGTTTTTGGATTGTCGGCTCCACAAAGAATATACACAAGTTCTGCAGAGTCTCTCTCGCTTCTCCGTGCTGTGCCGAGAAGAAATACGAGAGGACTTTGCTCGCAGGGTACATGCTTTATAAAGTTTCCTAAAAGTATTTAAACTACAATCTTGGAAAAAATATGTGTAGACTTTTCGAAATATACACCCAAATTTGAAAACATATGATGAAAATGGGAGCATTTTTCAATTAAAGTAACTATTTATCTTAAATCCCCCCTCCCCCCACAAACAATGTTGGTTCAGGTAAAGTGGATTTGCAACACGTGTTACCTAAATACCAACATTGTATAAGGGGGGAGGGGGACAAAGTTTGAAAATTTAAGAAGTCTACTAATTTTTTTCCAGGATTGTCTCTAAATTAAGGCAAACCCTTACAGGAAGGATATTTAAATTTTTTGAACATATAAAATTTTCTATTCTACTATGTTGTTACCAAAGTCGAGTGGCACACATGTTAGTGGTAACAAACCCAAAAAAAAAATTCCGGGGGGGGGACTTGCGATGGTAGGATTTCAGAAAATAAGTGTATATTATTGCCCATAGCTCGGGTTATCTTGCAGTTTCGTTGAATTTGGACACGATTCTAGATTTTTCTGCGTTGGTGTAATGTACTCAGGTGAATATGATGCTTGTGATGTTACTCTAAGTGTATATGCACACCGGGGAAGCTTGAAAAATATGCCGGGCAACGGTGGGAATCGAACCTACGACCTTTGGAATACTAGCCCAATGCTCTTCCAACTGAGCTACGCGGTCATGTCGGTTCGAGTATGTGATATTTCATGATTACTAAATTAGATTGATATCGAAGGAACTAGATTCTGTTCCGAAATATCACACACTCGAAGCGACCAGACCGTGTAGCTCAGTTGGAAGGGCATTGGGCTAGTATTTCAAAGGCCATAGGTTCGATTCCCACCGTGGCCAAGCATATTTTTCAAACTTACCCGGTGTGGATATACACTCAGAGTAACATCACAAGCATAACGATTCTATAAGTTTTTATACTTTGGAATGTATAGTAAATTTAAAATTAGCTTCAACTTAGAGTCTTGTAGGTTTAACACCCTTTTCAAAATGTTTTACTTAGTGTTTGCTCGCGGAAAATAAGCGAACTTAATTTCATAAAATACACATATCTGCTTGATTTCTTGAGTTCGTTTGGAATAAATAAACTAAGAGACATTTCTACTCGTTTATCGTATGGTTGTGTTTTAAATTATGTTAGGATTAATTTATTTTGAAGGTTTTTAGTTATCTATGCACATTTTCAACTATTATAGATTAGAACAAATCTCAATCTCTACATGTTACATCATGTTACATTATGTTACACTACATGTTACACTAAATTAAAATTACTATACTTTACTATAGTTCTTGACATGTTACAACATGTTACACCTATATTTTTAAAAGGAACTATAGATTTTTTTAAAGGTAGGTGTAACATGTTGTAACATGTGAAGATGTATAATAAAATATAGAACTTTTAGTGTAACATGTACTGTAACATGTGGTGTAACATTGTGTAACATGTAGAGATTTTACTCAGACTGTACATTTATTAAATAATAAAAAGATCTTCGTTAAGACAAGCACCAATTCTGAGGCAATCACAGGTACATGCGCTATAGAAGCATATTGAAACCATATTAAAACATACTTTATAGGTACAATTCTGCACTATAAAATTTTAATGATTGACAAATATGTGAAAAAATGTGACGGACATGAAACATTTTTGTCAATGCAGCCTTACTGGATAAATTAACCACAATTTTCCTTAAAGCAGGGTACCTACATAAGCCCCCCCCCCCGTCTACCGACCCCCTGGCCTCCAAAAAGTTTAATCAAACCCTGAATTATGTTCCTAATATAGAGTCCAAACTAATTTGAAAACTATGTTTCGAAAACGACGGTACAATTAACTTGGTAAAATGATTATCCATTGTATTTTTTCAGACAATCTTGGAAAAAATATGTGTAGACTTTTCGAAATATACACCCAAATTTGAAAACATATGATGAAAATGGGAGCATTTTTCAATTAAAGTAACTATTTATCTTAAATTCCCACTCCCCCCACAAACAATGTTGGTTCAGGTAAAGTGGATTTGCAACACGTGTTACCTAAATACCAACATTGTATAAGGGGGGAGGGGGACAAAGTTTGAAAATTTAAGAAGTCTACTAATTTTTTTCCAGGATTGTAGCGGCTAAATCGAGGAATGCACATTTGCTCGACGCCATCTTGAATTCCGCGCAAGGACCTGGGTCTCAATTATGATGTCATAGTATCTATCATGAATGATGTAATCAAAACAAACGTATTCGCGGGAAAATGAAAATATTGGATTCTGATTGGATAATTGTCGCTCGCACATGCCTAAATACTAAATTGTTATGTATATAAATAAAGCTAGTTTACAGCAGCAAAAATCACAATAAATTCACTTTTGATGCTTTTAAATCATAAATAATATGATTTGATATAAAGGGAAATAAACCGATCGAAAATACAAAATAACAGCATTTCGCGTATCGACATTTTTCACATTGATTTGTATGCATTAATCGACACTTAGTCTCTGGCACGCAAATTTACTTTCGTATAGTGAGCACATACTTGTGTGCACGGTAGATGGAAATTCCGAAAAGACCCTTCGATTCTGCATGAAATTCTGTATCAACAGCCCTAGTTTTCCTTTTTCATTCAAAAACTGAACCGAGATATTCGCCCTTTAATACTCTAAAACTCGAGTCTTTACCCTACTATAGGCATTTGTGTACAGAGTAGATGGAAAATCGGAGAACACCATTGAATTCGCCATAAAAATCAGCATCTTTTCATAGTAAATATCTCTAGTCAATTTAATAAAGAAAACTTTTTATCGCGTGTTTACTTCCCAGCTGACAATAGAAATAACAACATGAGCTCCACCTTTGAATTTACTATATGAGTAAATTCTTAAACACGTCCGAATTTATCATTATGATAAATCGCGCGGGGGTGGGGAGTTTTCCAAGTTTTTAAAAAAAATAGTTTTTAAAAAAGTTTTAAAAAGTTTTAAAAGAGTTTTGAAAAGCAAGAAAAGTTTAAAAAGTTAGATTTTTAAAAAAGTTAAAAAAAATTAAAAAGTTAAAAAAATGAGGGTTAGGGGTTAGTGGTTAGGGGTTAGGGGTTAGGGGTTAGTGGTTAGTGGTTGGGGTTAGGGTTTGTGTTAGGTGCCGCGAATTTATTATTATGATAAATTCAAAATTTGCCGCGAATTTATCATAATGATAAATTCATTATTTATCATAATGATAAATTCGGACGTGTTTAAGAATTTACTCATATAGTAAATTCAAAGGTGGAGCTCATGCTGAGAAATAAGCTACGGATACAGGAGCACTTTAATGGATAACCATTTTACTAATTCACTATTATCATAAGATAACCACGGATGTCCCCAGTTAATAATAAATTCAAGATGGCGTCGGGCAATGTGCATTCCTCGATTTGGGTGTTTCGAAAACGAAGACCTACGAAAACGAAGACCGAAGCTGACTCGTATGACGTGTGATCGCCGCCAATATTAAGTGACTAACTTCTGTTTAGTAAAATCAAATTGTGAAACACCAAATTGTGTACATTGTCAAATTGTGAAACACCAAATTGTGTTTACATTGTCAAATTGTGAAACACCAAATTGTGTTTACATTGTCAAATTGTGAAACACCAAATTGTGTACATTGTCAAATTGTGTACTTTGTCAAATTGTGAAACACCAGATTGTGTACATTGTCAAATTGTGAAACACCAAATTGCATACATTGTCAAATTGTGTACATTGTCAAATTGTGAAACACCTAATTGTGAAACATCAAATTGTGAAACATTATCAAATTGTGAAACATCAAATTGTGAAATATCAAATTGTGAAACACCAAATTGTTAAATTAAACACCAAATTGTGAAATATCTGTCAATATCAAATTGTGAAACATCAAATCAGTGCTTCCATTTTCAAAAAACATAATTTCCTTCCAACCGTTCAAAATTGGTGATTGCTAGATAGTATACTTCAAAATAAGGTTTCCGTTTTAATAACGTAGAAAAAACTATCCTAACGCAAAACTAAGCCCTAATACTAACCCTAACCCTAACCTAACCTAAACCCTAACCTAACCCTAATTTATTTTAATTATTTCAAAAATTGATATAAAAACGGAAACCTTATTTTGAAGTATACTATCTAGCAATTGCCGTTCAAAATTTCCTTATTTTTGAAAAAATGTCCTCCTTGCAATAAAAATTATTGAATTTTACTTAATTTAAAACTGATTTTATAGTTATTTATCTGGAATAACCGGGTATCTCTTGTTCTAGAAGGAACATAGATGTTACAGGAGCTGAATTATCAAAGGGGAGAGACAAAGAGTTTACCTAGATTAACACGAAGGAAAATAAGCAGGGGGGGTCTGGGGGTCCTCCCCCAAAACATTTTCAGATTTTGCATCTCGCAAATTTTCGTACTACGAAAACGAAGATCATAAAATATTCATTTATACGTTATTTTCGTGAAAATAAGCGCAAAAGTGTCGCGAAAAATTTCCGATAAATTGCTGGAAAAAATTAAGGAATAATAATATGTTATAGTATATGTCAATATGATCAAGGAAAATACGATTCAGCAATAAAAATAGAATATCACTAGAAACCTAAACCAGTATTCAGTAAATCACTCGTGTATTTTTAATATAGTCAAAGGCAAACATCAGACAAGTAAGAAATAACTAAATAATTTTAAAATGTAAAATGTTAACAACAGAATGTCAGAATTACAATTGCAAAATTTACAATGTTAACAAATATTCGACATTTGTTTGAATCAGTAATACCACGGTCAATAGAACCACAGAGTACGTACATAGTACACACAGATGTCTCAGTGATTCAAGTTAATTTAGCGTAAGGGATTTTCCAGTATACGCCGTGTTCTTAGGAAGTGCCCTAACGAGAGGTAGTCAACCCCCTGAAAACATATTGAAATTTAATCTTCCAGGGCCTCTTGCTAAGAACATGGCCACCAGCTATTTTGGTAAAAACTACCTTTTTCAATTTTTACGGTTTTCCCTCAGAAGTGAGACCTCTGTATGTAAGTACTCTGTGATAAAACTGAGAGGTAATACGTAACTACCAAATATAAACATTAAGTTATATATTAATATTAATAAAATAAATAACTTGCCTTGTAATTAATTTCGCGACACTTTTACGCTTATTTTCGCGAAAACAATGTAAATAAATATTTTAGGATCTTCGTTTTTCGTAGTACGAAAACAAAGATGGGTCTTCGTTTTCGTAGTGGGTCTTCGTTTTCGTAATTACGAAGACCCATCTTAGGTCTTCGGTCTTCGTTTTCGTAGGTCCTCGTTTTCGAAACATCCTCCTCGATTTAGCCGCATGTAGTATTTAAAGTAAACTCCATTTTGAATTTGAAGCTTTTTAATCTCTGCTTTTCAATAGTCTCAGTCAGAGTCTCAGACCTCACGCAATGTGGTATATTAAATGGTCACATGTCCCATGTCTTGTCACTCAAAAGTAGTTCAAAAAGTCAAAATTCCCAATCTGGGGATAGAGCAAGGTGTCAACTGTCAAATGACCGGGGTATGCCTGGGGGGGGGGGGGTTATCAGTATAAATATATATTGTCCATGCACATCGAGAACGTTGCTGTAAATGTCAATGAAAACTTCATGTATAAAGCC